GGAAAATAGATGAGAATAATAGAACCTGTCTATTTTCCCAGTTGCTGTTCAACTTTCTTGGCCGAGAGGAGAAAGTACAAGAAGACAATTCAGCATAGCTTTGAAAGCACTGCATTGTTTATGGGGGGTGTTTACTCTCTGTCAGCAGCGGTGCTTGGCAGCGGTAGCTCTGTGTTTACATGAGTGGATAGTGTGGTGGAGCAAGATGGTTGAAGTGACAGCAGATTCCACAGAGAATTTGACTGAGAAAGCCCATCTGCCGCTGAACTCGAATGGGAACGGGAGGCATTGGAGCGCTCCAGGATCCCTGCAACTCCCTGCATGTGAACATAGCACTCTGTGGAAGCAACATTGCCTTCAAAGCCTGAAAAATGCCTTTAAGACTGAAAGATGGTAATAAATCACAATATTTTTAATCTAATACCTTATAACAATATTTTGGGAATGTATGTGTTGTGAAAGGTAATTTTTCTGCAAGAAATTGAATACAGTCAACAGTAATGTGAGTCTGTATTATCCCACAAAAAATCTGACATGACAGCTGGTCTCACATCATGATATTATAATTACAAACGTATATCATCCTTATGACAAAGGCAGGAAGACTGGGTCATAGTCAGTAAACTGTTCTGGGAAAGTCCTCTGGAAAATGACCAGCTAGAAAAACTATAAAAACAGTAAACTGCTGTTTCAGAGGCATGATTTAAGTGTGGAACATTTTTGGATACATTGCAGAACGGACAATGAACTTTAAAGTAGCTGTCAATGTCAATATGGGATGATATATTTTGTAATTATTCAATGCTATATAGTCATTATTGTCAACATACTCTAGTCTCTATATTCCAGTGATTTATATTTAAAATTGTATTATCTTGTTTTGGAATAAGTTAGCCATTGTACGTCAGCTGCCATCTATAGAGGTGCTATGGTGCAGGGCTGTGTATTGGTAAGAATCTGGCAATACAATACATATACAAGGATTATGATTCTATGTTTTGCGATCTTGTAAACAAGGCAATATATTGTGATTTTTCAAAAAATTTAATTTTAGAAAAACTGTCATAAAATAAGCAACACACCACCATATGCATAAAATCTCCTGTAAAAAAGTAGACTTCATGCATTCAGAAAAGTGACATGAATCTGCATTTGTCACAGTGTAACATCCATCTACATAGCACTACTTGGCATGTGTACTATTAATTAAAAATCAATTGTGTGTTTTTGAGAATCAGTACAGTATCAATATCAGTGCTGTCACCTGTCATCACTCACTGTGACACTTGAATATAACGGAGCTGTTGTTAATCTTATTAGCAACATCTGTGACTTTCCTACTGTGGCAAGTGGAAATGTCTTCTGTGAAAAAGGAAGCAATCCTGTACAGACAGACAATGAGAGGTCTCTTTGTATTACAACAAAGGGTTGAACGGTGTCACTGGTTTGAGGGCTGTACAACCTTCCCCCTCCCCATCACCTCAGCATTGATGTAATCTGGAGAAAACTCTGCAATTTATTGCATTAATCACAATGGATTAGCGAGTTTCATTGCTTAATCACTTCAAAGGCTCAGCTGCGTTAGCCACTGCTCTGAATCAGGCACACACACACACACACAAAGCTGAACTTAGCACAGTACCATCCCAGCCTGGGCCTCACCTCCCCTTGGACACTGAAATACGGCACCAAGGACAAATGCATGTAGTGTTCTCAGTGAAAGATGCCTTGCTCCTCTGGACTCCTTACACACTTAAGGATATTTGTCTTTCTGTTTATCTGTTCCTCCCTAACTTCCCTTCATTCCTCCTCTTTTGCATACTAACAGGGAGGACACTGTACAATAGTTAACTCCCACACTCGTGTCCCCTTCAGCCCATGTTTTTTCAAGCTAATTCAACATTCATTCTACAACCTTCCCTGGAAAATGTGTCACAGTATTATTGTGAATGTATGTACTCAGTTTTTTAGAACACATGTCAAACTATTTATCTGAATTTGTCTGATCAGATGAATTTCTTTATAGTAACCTTTGACCATTAATTCTTCTATAATGTAGCATGCAAAGATCCCTAAAATGAATCTCTGATTTGTTTTGCAGACGGAACAAAACGACAGTATATCCTCCACAAGCACAGACTCTCCCCTTCGCCGCCGCAACACTAACTCTGACCCACTGGCCCGGAGCCGACCCCTCAGTGATATATACCCATTTCAGAGTCAATGTGAGAGAAACGTGGTCCCATATCTGCTGTCTGGATGTGGCACCCAGGTACAACCAGTGACTCTAGGTTCTGAGAGCAGACTGAATGGCATCAATGCCTCTGCCTGGTCCAACCCTATTATAGGTCAACCTGAAGGAAACCCTTACTCATCAAGAATAATGAAGCTTTTTTCTAACTCAAGAAAAGGTCCCGTCCCTGCTCACAGTGCTGTTGGCAACAGCAGCCACCAGTCCTTGTTGGGACTTTCAGGACTGGGTGTTGTGGGTTCCTTCAAAAAGCTCCGCTCCTCTGTACTACACAGCATTCAGAATAGAGGGCCGGCAAACCTCAATGGAGAGCATGTCCTTTCTCCAAATCAGGAAATGACTAATGGCACAGTTATGGTCAACACTGACTCTGGACCAGATGATACAACAGATCATAGTGTGACTAACAGAAGTTTTACTGGTCAGAAGTTGTCTCTGATGAGTCAGTTTGGCTCAGATGTTGAGGACTATGATGCTGAGGAAAATGATGGAGAGGGTCTCACCCGCAGCTCACGATTCTCCAGGAGTATCAGGAGAGCATATGGAGCAGGACGCATTTCTTTACTTGACATGGGCAATGGGATAAACACTGAAATCAACACATATGAATCCAGAGACAGTCAGAAACCAGGTCAGACATCCAAAATCAATGTCCAAACAGAGAGCATAAATGACAACACAAATGCGAGGGGGATGAGCAGACTGAGCAAAAGTTCAGAAAATCTTTCTATATTTAAGATACCTTTCAGGCACAAATCCCCATCCCTAAGTTCTCCTTTACCTCTGGAAGACTTCCAAAGGACTTCCACAACAAATGGGGCACTAAATGTCCAGAGAACCACCACTGCCTCCTCAGTGGACATCCAGGGCCATGCTGTTAACAGCAGGAAGAGCCCTTTGAAGACCAAGCCGCCAATGCTGAAGCTTGTTGGCAACATGACTGACCTAACTGTGCGACGTAGACCAAATTCAGCTCACAGCCCTACCTCTGCATCTCCCTTGTCACCCCAGAGCCGTCTCCATGATGACTACTCCCGCCGTGTGCCTTGCCTAAAAGCCAGTGAACGACGGCGCCGACCATCACCTGTCAAAGCCCGGATCACGCCTGTGGAACATACTCCTCTGATTCATAACCAACCTGAATGCAACATCAGCCCACAGCAGCTTCAGGCCTTTATCACACCAAGTTCTCTGGATCCCCCATATAAAACAGAGCAGACTTCACCTGGTGGGTCTGCTCTGTATGAACCAGAGGCCACAGAAAGCTGTTATAAATGGATGGCGGAGCCTGGTACATCTCCACTCAGCCAGCAAGAGCCTTTACAACAGCAGGACCAGACTGAGGTCAACTTGCTAACGACTGAGGTGAGGGAGTAAGTTGGTAAATCAGGTGCATAAAGATGACAGGAGCCTGATGTAAAATTTGTTTTTCTTGACACATACAATAAATGGTGTTTTATGAGTTAACAGTAGCAGTATTGTTCTACAAGTTCCAGCCTGTGTTTTGGCTTGGCAGATGTTTTACATACCACCATCAAGCTCGGTTGTTTTGTTTGTTTTCACGTCCTGCGGATGGATAAAATGCACAGTAGCTAAAATACAAAAAAGGAGCAAAATGTTTCACATTATCACATCCCAGAACCACCTTTTATTGTTAATATTCATGAGGTTACAGATTAGCTTTGCTTTAAGCTGCAAAGAGGAGGGAAGCACTGGGAGTAGGAGGAAGGGTTTGATCTCTGCCTTATCATTTTATACAGTGTAGTCATCAGGAGATGCCGGTCCTCCAATTTAATGGCCCATGTCTTAAGAAATCAAACATCAGTCCTTTCAGTCGTGATTTTATGGAAGTGATCTTTGAGTCTGGCATGATCTGACCCCACTTGAGATAGGTTCTCATGTCAGCGTGTTACCTGTCAGTATGGTGCTAAAAACAACTGAGCTTTAAAGTCTACATTACTGTCAAATCAAGGATGACAAGGGCAAAACGTTGCTTCACACTCCTTTTCCTGTCAGTTGTGTTGATGTCTCCTGTTCCTGCAGCGTCACATGCTGAAACCAGCTGTTCTGGGCTACCAAGCACACTGAAGGAGCAGGGTGAGTTAATGATTAGGCTTTGTTTATGATTAGTGGCCCTTGCGCAAAACTGCTCCGTAGTTCTGTTGCTGTGGAGGGTCAGCAGGTGTGAGTAAGTACAACACCCCCGCCTCGCTTCTGACTTTTTGCTCTAGATCAGCCCATAGCAGTGGATCAAAGTCCACTGCTATGGGCACTGGGCCCTGGGACATTTAGGAGCACCAACAGCTAGACCGACCCAAACACATTTCATTAAAACAATGTATTTATGTGACTAGGACTAGGATTTCACCTTGGAAGATGAACAGGAAAAATCAGATTTGTTCACTTTAGGAAACTGGGGAGCACAGGCCAGTTTGTTTGTGTTGCACAATGGTGTTGTTCCACTGCGTGTCTTCCCAGTGTATATGGTGTGTGTCGGATCCAGATCGAGAAAACCAGGAGGTAAGGCTTGGTATCACTGGCTGACTAACAGACCTAAACAGCAGCTTCTAAATGAGTAACCATTAGCCAATATTGACCATTGAGTGTACAATACCTGTTGCCATACATACAGAATGATAACATTTAATTGTCGGGTATTTGTGCAGTTTCTGTTGCAGTTCATGTTTGAATTTGATAAGCACAGGTGGTGATTGAGTTCAATATGTGGAGCCAGTCGCTGTATGAACTTGAGTACTTCTATGTGACAAGTTTCTCACAAGAATCCTGATAAAGTTCACTGAAATACTTTTGCACTGACTCTTGTGGTTCTGCCGACCAAGACTGTTGTTTCTAGTTGGACATTTATGACTTGCAGTACCAGTTTGCTCTGTTTCTGAATGACCGATGTTTTTCCCAGCAGACACTATATTCTGCATCTCTGCACATTGCAGGTTATCACAAAGGAGAACATCTCCACCCTTATTGAGTTCTGAACTTTTTCCCCAGGTGATATCGGAGCAAGAAAGGAGAGAAGTGCTTCTCGAAACAGAGGAAGTCTTTCTAACAGCCAGCAACAGCACACGTCCTGTCTCCCCAGTATGTCTCCTGGAATCATCTGTTTCGCCAACATCACCGACAGATGCAGCCAGAGCCTTCACAGAAACATCCTCTGCCAAACGCAGGCGAAGGAACGGGCACTCTAGACCTCGGCCTATCTCTGACTACGGGCAGCTCATTTCAGGGAAGCACTTCATTCCTGAGGAAGTAGCAGAACTGCCTAGTGAGGAAAGTACAGAAAGTGTGGCGTTACATACAGACTGCAGTGATATTAATGCATGTGGGCATGGAGGGAGCCCTGAGAACTGCGGCATGAATGGAGACATTCAGGGGAGAAGGCAGCGGCCCATCTCAGTGATAGGAGTTGTGGATGTGCTCTCTGCTGATGCTGAGGAAAAAGACCAGTGCTTTCCTTCTGTAAGCTTCTACAGTTGCAATTTAGACCCACTGTGTGAAAAATGTGTTGGCTCTAGGAGTATGAAAAAACTAATATTAAAACCAGAAAAAATACATTCAATGTTTTATGAAATACAAGCCACAAATAATGAATCAGGTATGTGGTGAAATTCAGAAAAAGTGAATTCTTTCTAAAGCTCAGGATGTTTCCTCTTGTCCTCTGCAGCATCTGTCACGGCCACCCATCCCCTCCCACCAGGTTCCCCCTTACAGAGCAGTATCTGCCAGGTTTCGCCCCTCTGCCTTATCCCAGAGCACCCCCATCGGACTGGACCGTGTTGGGCGGCGAAAGCTCCACAGAATGCTCAGCAGTAAGTACTGGGGTTGTTGTTGTGTGACTAGAGATCACAAATTTTAGCCTGTGGGAAAACTGGAGACTGGGAATGTCAGAATGTGTGTTGGAGAAAAATGTTGGTATAGGGCCAGGTGTGGGTGCCCCTCCATCTGTGGCTTGCTTTGTCTATTAAGCCTTGTTAGAAGGATTTCAGCTCCACATAGTTCTTTAACCTCTATATATGTTGCAGATGGTGTGTCTGAGTGCTCGACCGCACTTGATGACAGCGTGAGCGAGGAGGAGGAGAGCAGCTTCGAAGAGCTCACTGATGTCACACCCTACCTCCAGCCAGGGGTGGAGATGTCTGTGCTCAACGAGGTAAGGCTGAGGAGGGTAACTCACCTATCATGTTGCAACTCAATCTCACTCCAAGAATGTGTATTGAATTAATGATGCAACATTTATCTTGCCCTGTGAACAGCCACGGGAAAGTGTTTTCGTGCCTGTTTAAGATGTTTAACCACAGTTCAGGACAGCAAGTCTAAACATAATCTTGTATGTTGGACATGCACTCAGCCTGCATGTTATTGTATCTTTATCTTATCTGTGTGTTGCTCAGTGGATAAGCTCAGGCCACACGGTATATGCTGAGGCTCTCTGGGACCACGTGACCATGGAGGAGCAGGAGCTGGCCTTCAAGGCTGGAGATGTTATCCGTGTCCTGGAGGCTTCACATAAGGACTGGTGGTGGGGCAGGGGGGCAGACAGGGAGGCCTGGTTCCCCTCCAGCTTTGTGAGGGTAAGTAGACCTCCTGATCTGTGTGTCTGACACATGTTTGCTCTCCTAGCAGCACAGAAGAGACTCACAAACAGACTTGGCTCCAAACAACCATCTTAACAGTGTGTGTGGAAGGGTTCAACTGGTTTCTGTGGTTGATTGATTGGTTTACTCTTAAATAGCTGTAGGCTCCAGTAACCAAGATCTAACATGATTCCGTTTGTGATCATCAGTGTAAAGAAGGCGATCTCACATTTAAATACCGGTAGCCTATTTTGCAGCCAGGATTCATCCTCAGCTCAGAATAAAAGCAATGCAGGCCATTTATCCATCTTCATAACACTGTGGCTCTGTGGACATGATGACAACTGTCAGGTTATCAGTCGGTCCCCCCACACTGAAATATCAGCGATGAGTGTAAATAGTAATAATAATAGACAAGAAAACATGGAGCTTTAGCCACATGTGACACTGACCTATGAATTACTATTTCTTGTGTTGTTGTTGTTGGTCATACTTTGACCATTCCTTTAATAATGCAGTGAGACTCTCATAATAATTCCTGCAATAATAATACATCTTTAGCCTTTCCTTAATATTTGGAAATTATATTTAGTGTTAACAGCTTCTTAGTCTGTTCACACTATGTGTTCATATTTCTGATGTTTCTCTCAGCAAAATAAGTAATATTTTTATGTCACTATAACTAAATATACTCTCAGATATGTCACTTCTTCTCCTGGTATACTAAGTACTTAATTCATGGTGATGTTGCTTCTAATTAACAATAGTTCTCCCTTTATTGTGTTCATTTTGCTTATAAGCCAGAAATTTTATTTAAGTTCATGAAATCACATATATTTGTCAAGCATCCTGTTCTTTTTTATTTGTTTGATAGTGTGGCGCCTGGAACGAAGAAATTATTGGGTAAAGAAGGTGCCGTTGTGTTTGCGGTGGATGTGTTTCAGGTGCGAGTGAACCAAGAGGACTCCGGTGCGGAGAGTGTAGCCGACCAGGAAGAGCCAGCTCCCAGGGACACACATGGCGCTCAGCACAGGGAGCAGATGAGAACTAACGTGGTTCAGGAAATCATGAATACTGAACGCATCTACATTAAGCACCTAAAAGACATCTGTGAGGTACGAGCCTCAGCTGTATCACAGCATTTCTGCAGGGAAACTTTTGCAGCCAAAAGACATTAAAGATTTGAGCTGCTGCAGTCATCTCGCTCTAATATGGTTATAAATCACAGCTCTGCTAAATTAAGCTGTTTTGTATTGTAAGTACTGTCAACAGTCTACTAAAATATAATAAACTACAGTTTTATTTTAGCAATGACATGGAAAACATTTCCTGAACTGTCCAAGTCCACTGTCTAGCACCCCCTGTTGGCCAATGTTTAAACTGTTTTAATATACACTGCTCAAAAAAATAAAGGGAACACAAGGGAAAATAAGACATTCAACTATGTAATGAACAAGGTATTTAATAAGAATATTTCATTCATTCAGATCTAGGATGTCTTATGTTGTGTTCCCTTTATTTTTTTTGAGCAGTATATTTTGTCACTACTGATGTTGTGTACCTTTTAGGGTTACTTCCGCCAGTGCCGTAAACATCCTGACATGTTCACTGAGCTGCAGCTGAAGACCATCTTCAGCAACATTGAAGACATCTACAGGTTTCAGAGGCAGTTTCTCAAAGACCTGGAGAAGCAGTACAACAAAGACCAACCACACCTCAGTGAAATAGGCTCTTGCTTTCTCTTGCAGGTATTGGCTACATAATTTTCAGCAATATGCTCAGTATTCCCTGACTAAGTAACTCATTTATTTACAAAATTCTGTGTCACTGGTTTGCTGGCTCCAATTAGTTTTTGTTTTCCTAGGGGGAGGGCTTCTCTGTCTACTCAGAGTACTGTAACACTCATCCGGCAGCCTGTGCCGAGCTACAGCGCCTCATGAAGGTGAGCAGATATAAACATTTCTTTGAGGCCTGCCGACTCCTCCAGCAGATGATCGACATCTCCATCGCTGGTTTCCTACTCACACCTGTCCAGAAGATCTGTAAATACCCCCTGCAGCTGGGAGAATTGCTCAAGTACACCCCTAAGAACCACAGGTGCTCTTCTGGAAATTCATCACTTTACTTGTTATGCTACTCTTACAGCATTTACAACACTTTTATATTAGTATTTACACTAAGTTACTAAGTGATGGTGCTCTCTTTTCATACTTGCACCAGAGTTAAAAAAAATCTTTTCATCCACTTCATGTTATCACATATTAAATAGTTTACAGAATATAGATCATAAGGCATATAGTGTGCATCAGTGTGGATACTGTTGGTCCCTATAGGACCCAATGATGCCTGTTGCCATGGATGCATTCACATCCTGTTAATCAGATACCTCTGTCTCTGTATCATAATTTTAGATTGGCTGCATAATAAAAACTATAAGCAAATAGGGGCAATAATATTTAACCTAGCACCAGCTTCTCTAAAATAATTCAGTAACCATCAATGGTCTTTTCATGTATTAATTTATTTGGAGTTATATGAATCTGCAATAAATAAACCACCGGGACCACCATATTACTTAGTTTTTCATTGTTGAGGTCGAAGTAGTGTGTTACTGTAAATGGAACAGTATTTTCCGTTTCATTGAGAGGACCCTTTGTTTTTTTGCCAATTTGTTGCAGTGACTACAGCGCAGTGAGCAAAGCACACGAGGCTATGAAGAATGTGGCCAGTCTGATAAATGAGAGGAAAAGGAGACTGGAGAGTGTTGACACTATTGCTCACTGGCAGGTTGCAATTCTGCACTGGGAGGTGATGATGAATATTGAATGTTAAATGAATTTTTATTTTGCTTATTATTTACATGTAGGTTGTACGTTGTGTCCATCTTATTTAAAACCACTGATTTATTTTATACGACTCTGTGCGTCTTGGCAAACATGTTGCAGGGACCCGATGTGCTGGAGCGCAGCTCGGAGCTGATCCACTCCGGTGAACTGACTCGAATCGTCCGACAAAGCAAAATTCAGCAGCGCAGCTTCTTCTTGTTTGACCACCAGCTGGTCTTCTGCAAAAAAGATGTCCTGCGCAGAGACCTACTCCATTATCGTGGACAACTGGACATGGACCAGACGGAGGTGGTGGACGTGCCCGATGGTCGGGACCCAGACCTGGGTCTGACCCTGAGGAATGCTCTGCGTCTGCGCCACGCATCCACTCTGGAGTTTGTGTGTGTGCTGTGCTGCAGGAAGGCCCAGGACAAGCAGAGGTGGTTAGAGGCCTTTGCAAAGGAGAGGCACAGAGTCAAGGAAGACCAAGAGATAGGTGAGTTGAACCGGATTCCTTTCACCGGTGATATAAAACAGCTGCTGTGAGTAGATTGTTAGATGGGTGTGACTGGAAATATTTTGACCTGGAGGTGTGTTTGTTTCTTTGCAGGAATGGAGATCAGTGAAGAGCAAAGAAAACAGGCCATTGCTAACGCTAGAAGAAGCAAACAGGGGAAGAGCAAAAGTAAGGAAAGCATTTGTCTTAAAGCTTTTAAGGTGCTCTTTATTTTTAATTTCAATTGTCTCATTTAAAATTTTGATTTTTATTTCCCCCTGCCTTGTTCACCATTCAGCCATTGGTTACTCCGGTTCTGTCCCACCCCACCCCCAAAACCTTCACCCACTTCACCAGCGTCACATCACCATTCCGACCAGTGTGCCTCAGCAGCAGGTCTTTTCGCTGGCCGAGCCTCCAAAACGAAAGCACCTGTTGTACAGCATCACCCGCAGTGCCTTTTTCAAGAAATGAGGCTTTGCTCCATCACCTCTATTTTCCTCTGTGCATCATCAGAGCACATCCAGTCTGTCCTGAAGACTCAAAGAACACTTTATTTTTTCCTGTATTTTCCAGTCTGTGAATATATTATCAAGTTTTGTTTTTGTGCATCATGTCTTTATGTGTTTATTTTTATTGCATGTCAAAGTTTGGTGCCAATATTTCAGAAGGGGAATGACAAAAATGTTAAAATTTTGACTTTGCCCATTTTGTTTGTGTCTTGAAGATGCTGCTCATGAAACTCGACCCCTTTGTCTTAATAATTCCAACAGAAAGATTTTTTTAAATTTTAATAATGACTGTTTATTCAGCTTTTAAGTTTGTTAAAAGTAAACATAAATTACTTGCCTCATTCAGCTACCATGTTAACATTGTAAATAAAGATCTTGTTCAAATATGCAACATGAAAGTTTTTTCACTTTAAAGTAACTTTGCAGTTGGCAGCTAGCAAATATACTGTTGTTTGTGGCTGTTAGTTAATGAATGAATCATTAGTCATGAGGTACGTTGCCATCAGTGAGCTCTTTTTCTCCACTACTCACCTGTGCTGAAGGATCTGGTTTCACACACCTGTCGGCTGTGAGGCTCTACACCGTTTTTGTCTACTGCAGTTTTTACAATGTAACGCAGTTTTTGTTCTGAAGGAAAAGAGGATGGATCTTAAAAACCAGAAGTCAGGAATTAGATGATAGAGGCTTGAAGGGATGCCTATGTCATGGGCACAGAGCACGAGGAGAACAAGCAGCCCAGTGGAGATGATGGTGCAGCTCAACAGGATGTTGCCAGTGTAAGTAAAATATTTTCAACAAGGTGGGTGAGTAGAATTGTCTTTTGAACCAATAAATTGGCTTCTGAATAGGAATGTGGCCTTTAAGGAAGGTTGCACCAAGAGGATGTTAAAGAAATCAGCTCTTGATCTGTTACAGCATGTTGCTTGATTAAATACATGTAAAATATTTTAAAATGCTTTGAATATATTTTTTCCTGAGGGAATCTATAGTGTGCTAACTGGCGATGGATCAAGTGCCACTTGCACAGTATGGGATGACACTCAATGAATTATATATGTGCAATGGAGAACTCAACGAGCGCCAAGAGTTACATCTGATGGAGTTAGTGTTGCTTTCAGGCATCCTACATCACAAGCTGAAGTGACCAGTGATACAGGATCATTACCAGCAGGCACACTTTGTCATTGTTGGCAGATCAACTGTTAAATGTGACAGTTTACGCCATGTGATACTCTTCCAGTGCATCAGTGACATTCTAACCAAACCTTTCCTTAACCTTCTATCTATACATGTTATGGGTTGTGGATCTCGCTTCCTCTTTTTTTGATGGGTTTTCTCCAGATTCCCTGTCTCTCCCTGCTTGTCACGTCTCTACCAGTGTAGTCACCCATCATTGCATCCACCTGCTGCTCATTATCTCTCGGTTCAGTCTCCTACATATGTTTCCGTTTGCTTCTTGCTGGTTCGTAGTCAGTTCACTGATGCTTCTGTGTTCAACTCCTGGTGTGTCTGCACATTGGGTCCACTCATAAGTGCTTCCTGACAGTGCATTTGCAAATGATTAGCAGTATGTACTTCAGTGCAAACTACCCAAGCTTCATTTCAACATCTTTAAACACATCCCTATAGGAGTCTGGACTACTGAAGCAACTACTTGAAAGAGCAAATGAAATGTACTGCTGCTGTGATGGCACTTTGCATTATATGAGTATGAATGTGTCCATCTCCCTGGCTGCAGATTGCAGATGTGTCTGTGGAGGTGTCCACAGTGGACCACACGCTGCAGAAGCTGCGCAGGATGTACAGAAAGACCAGACGTAAGCCCAAGGGTCTCAAGAGGCTGTGGGCTTATCTGTTGAACGTCCCGCACATTTCTCTCATCATCACAGCAGTGGTGTCTGTGCTGATGGTGATGGTGTGGTCACTGCTGTGGGTCTTCATATGTAAGTGAAAGCCTTCTTTTACTTAGCAGTGAATGGTTGCAATAGGCTACAATGTTCTTTACTAGCTTCTGTATTATGTGTCAGTTCATTTTTTTATAACATGTGCATTTGATTTCATTAACTGCTTATTATTAAAGTTGCATACACAGCTCTGTTTTAGATCACTGTATGTTATCCACTGGTGGAAGAAGTACTCAGATTGTTCACTTAAGTAAACGTAGCAATACTACAGTGTAAAAATATAATGTTAAGTAGAATTTTGAATGCAGAAATTTAACTTAGTAAAAATATTAGCATCAGAACTAAAAGTACTCTGCTAAATAGCACATTACGCATGGATGTATGTCATATTATTGGGCTATAATGGTTGGCATGTTGTTGTGTGCATCACATTTAATGTTGTAGCCAGTAAAGGTAGAGCTGTTAACTATCTTATATGCTTATAATTTGAAGTACTTTACATACTGCTGGGTGGCTTGTGAATAAGTTTTTATGATTATACTGTTTTGTTTTATTCATCTCATTCTGAAAAGTAACTAGTAACTAAAGTTATCAAATGAATGTAAGTAAAACAGTACTATATTTTTCTCTAAAATATAGTTAAGTATAAAGTAGCAGAAAGTGAAAATACTCTAGTAAAGTAAGGGTACTTAGTTACTTTCCAATGCTAACATCTCGTTGTTCTTTGGTAGTTTATATTTACATTACTCTGAAAAGACACCACAGTAGTGCGCAGGTCTTACTTTATTTTCTTAGTTCGCAGGGAAAGCAACAGTGGAGCGTATTTTGCTGGGATGTTCCGTCTTGCCAACATTGAGTTTATCCCCGAGTACCGCCAGGCAGAATCCCGTGAGTTTGTTTCCATGGCAAGCAAAGTACAAAATGCGGTATGTATCAGTGCAACCCTGCCATTGATGCGATGGTTGTTGCTATCTAAGGGAGTCTTACTGTTAATCAGTTGTGTCTCATAGGTGAGCAATGTGTACAAGATGTCAGCTGTAGCCAGACTCTACAAGGAAGCTGTCATTTCAGACCTCAGGTACAGTGGACCGTTTTGTCATCATAAAATTCCAGTTTTAAGCATCAATGTTTGACTGCTTTTAAATGTTTAATGCCAGCTGTTTTTCCCCCAGTAGCAACAATAAGGGAGGGGTGTTGGTGCATTTCTGGATGGTGTTTGTGGTTCCTCCACTAAAGAGCCCAGAAGTGTGTGAGGACTGTGTAGGAGCAATTTTCAGAGACTCAATTCTCACCAGCCTCAAGAACAGGTCCTCTGTAGGATACCTGCTGGATCTTCCAGTTGATATAGACTCCATCGTCATCAATGGTATGTCTGTGTGTCTGCATTTGTATCCTAAGTATGTTTTATCAGTGCAGAGACTGATTAACGTGTCCTCCTGCAGCTGTTCAGCGCTCAGATTACACATCAAACGTAGAAGGTAGGTGAAAACCCTTCAAGTTGATAAAGGTTCTACTGTGTTACACTGTATTTCCATGAGGGTTTTTCTCTCCTTCCAGGCTCACAGTGTGTGGATAATATGTATGCCAACCTTCATGGGGCAAGGGTCCCTTTAAATGTGTTCTCATCTTGGGGTGGTGTGAGTTGCCATGTAAAGCTCACTGCTGTTCCTGGCTCTCTGATCCGTCTGACCATCGCCTCGTTCCTCATTGAGCCCAGCGACTGCGTGGATGATGCCTTGATTGTGTATGACGCTCTGCTGCCCATGAGAGGGCGCATTCTGCACAGGTGAGTCTCAGTTTGATTCACTTCCCTTGTATCTTTGTGATTAAAAGAAACTCTTGTCAACAAAAATATATGCTGCATATTACAAGTGCCAGAAATATCATTTGTCAAACTCATCTTAGACATAAAATGTACATATACTGACACACAGTGTATCTCTGTGCTGCAGCCTGTGTGAGCCTGTGTCCAGTGTCTTCTCCCTTGTCTCTACTTCCAATGTCATGTTGCTGTCCTTCAGAATGACTAATGACAACAAGAGATTCAGAGGACACTTTGAGGCTATTGCTGATGAAAGTATGACACATTTACTTGGTTATTTTATATGTATGTAGCTCTCAACCTTCTTAGCTTATGTCTATGTAGAATCCAACAATATCTACGCATGACCCTTGTCACAGATTTAATGTCTACGAGTTGTGAACAGTTGGATCAAAGTGATTAGTTCCTTCTCAGATATTTTAAAATATTTTTTTAGAAGTCTATTGTGACCGTCAGACTTGCAGCCCCTTCTCACTGTCCCAACCCTCAGTTTCAGGAATACTCAGTCCTGTGTAGGGTACAAATACATTCCTTAACTGTTTCTCTCTCTGTCAGTATGTATGTCTCAAATTGAGACCCCATTAATCCCTGACATCACACACCAGATCTACAGCCCTTTTCACCCAAGCCTGTTGCCCCCTCAGTGCTCCTGCACCTGGAAGTTTGAGGTACAGCACTTACACATACATGACTTGTAAATCTGTGAGCAAGTTTTTCTTAACCTGTGACTTAAAACTGCTTTTATTGACTGCATTCTATTTCTATTTCATTCTAGACGCCTAACAGTGCTTTAGGTGTTGCTCTCCAGTTTCAGAACTATGTTCTGAAACCAAAGGACATTAAGGGTTGCGACCAGGGCTGGTGGAAGATCAATGAAATTGTGTGTGTACAGCTACTTACAACCAGGCTACATTTATACATATCTAGAACAGGAAATAATTTCTCCATAAGTTAAAAGAAATCCTACATCCTACAGTGACATTCTCTGTTTTGCTAATGGTTGCTTTCCTCCCATAGTTTCTGTGGAAACTACGTGGGATATCACACGGTGTTTCGGATTGCTGACCACAGCCCAGAAGTTGACTTTCGTTGCAGCTCACATAACTCTGTTCAGCCGTTTCAGGCATCTTACAGCAGCTACAATATCAGCCAACGTAAGCAATGCAGAACCAGAGCATGACTCACTATAACGGCCAGGATGCGGTGTAGGATATGACTGGTGATAGGTGTTTGATTGGGCTTTATTGCGGATGTGAGTTAATGACTTTGTTTTGAAGCGGGATCTACAGAGAGGAAGCACTGGAAAAGTTGGCCTATTTCAGAGAAGATGGAAAATAATTACATGTAGCTAGGTTTGTTACTGTAGATTTTGTCTTTTACTGCACAGGATACTCCACAGCATTACAACAATTTATCTAGTTTTACAGCTTTAGTTCTTGTGATGCCTGTTAGTAATTAGAGTAAAAACAAAGCAGGAAAATGATCTTTTCTTTAAGCACTTCTTCTGATTTAGTTATATTTCTCTTCCTGCTTCTCCCAGCCTGTCCAGACAGCCACTTCCTGTGCTCTACAGGACTGTGTGTGGAGAAGAGTCGACGCTGTGATGGCCTGGATGACTGCCAAGATGAGAGTGATGAGCTCTTTTGCTGTAAATTTTCATCCATGTTACACTGTAATGGTTGTTTATATTTAGCTGTCATTTTTACACTTTGATTACCCATTCCTTTTTGAAATGGTTCTGTGAGATACTCGCAACACATTTCACTGTAGCAAAGCATTTCATTATATTTGCCTGAGGAATCAGTCATGTATTGAAAATGGCGCATATTTGCACAGCGATGCCCACAATGAACTGTGGTGGCAACAGGCCTGTGCATCCTCTGTTTGTCTGCAATGGAGAGAGAGACTGCACTGATGGAACAGATGAGAGCAACTGCACTCAGGGTATTAATTTTGAAAGTTCTTTCAGTGCTCTATGGTTGCCCTTTCTCTCTTTAACCACTAACAGTCGCAATAACGCTCTGTTTTTTTTTTTTTCCCCAGAAACAATCTGCTCTGCAATCAGATATCAGTGCAGCAGCGGGTCCTGCATCCTGAAGAAGAATGCAAAGTGTGATGGGGTTCATGACTGTAAGGACAACAGTGATGAGGTGAACTGTGGTGAGTGTTCTGCATTTTCCTGTTCTCTCAATGTTACAGTGGGGAGAAAAAAAAATCCCTTGCAAAATGGCAGCTTTTCCAGTGAAGACTGACGCTAACAGCAATATGTTGCAAAACCTGTTTGCATTTCTCAGTAACGTTACCAGTCCACCCCAACAACTGGGGTTCATTCATTTTGAAGAATGCAGTTTTTGACAGCTCTAAATTCTAGTCAAATTTCCTTAATACTTTAACAACTTTACACACTTGTACATCCTCTTCCAACCTGAAATATATTAAATTATAGATGCTTTTCTTTCTCCTCTTATTATCTTAATCTTCTATAATTGCTAACACTCCCTGTCCAAAGTATGCCCTCAGGTTGGTGTTCTCTCACAAATGAAAGCCCCTAAACTACATATCAACTCAACCTAAACCATGAAAATCCATCTGTCCCACCTGAGTTATTTGCTCTTAATCAAGCCACTGATACCTAGGCATTATACTGTCCCTACACTGCCAGTTCTCTGCCAAAACCTTGTCATGGTTTCATGAGAAAACATGGGCACTCAGCTCCAAACCTACTGACCTGCATCACAGAAGTGACCTTGCTGTAATAGCTCACTGTGTTTGCTGTTACTCTATCATGATGGGGTCTCAAGGTGATGGGAACAGGCCTGTCTTTGATCACTCACTGTTAACTGGCATACAGGCACATTTGTGTGTGCATACACACGTACACATACATATGAAAGCTATAACTCTTAAGACGCCAGCAAACCTGTCTGTCATGGTGATTACTCAGATGGTAATTGGAGGTGTACAAGACACGCTCACACTCACATGTGACTCACTCCTGAACAGATTTTAAACTGCACATAGTAGTAATAATAGTAGTATTAACATATTATTTCTCACACTGGGGTACGCTTTGTCATTAGAGGTGATAATGTTGAAGTTTAACTACAGTGTGACAGTATATAATATACTGCACATACTTCCATATATACTGTACAGTTTCAGAGCCAGCAGTGGCCCTTTGGTACATTCACACACATAAACTGTATGCCCCTTTACATTAAATATCCCAAAATATGATCAGTATCAGTGGTGAAAGAAGTACTCAGATCTTTTACTTCAGTAAATGTAGCAATACAACAGTGTAAAAAAATACTTGGTTACAGGTAGAAGTTTTGCATTTGAAATGTTACGCAAGTAAATGTACAAGTACCAAAAGTAAAAATACTCATTATGTAGAATGGCACCATTCACATTCATGTATGTCATATATCAGATTATAATTATTGTGTACATCACTTTTAATGTTGCAGCTGGTAAAGGCGCTAATGTTAACTACCTTTCCACTGAGGATCAATTAAATCTTATCATTATATTATATTTTGTTTTCTTAATCTCATTCTGAAGTGTAACTAGTAGCTAAAGTTTTTGAATAAATGTAGTATAAACTACAATATTCTCTAAAATGTTGTGGAATCGAAGTATGAAATAGAAGAAAATGGCAATACTCAAGAAAAGTTAGATACCTCAAAACTGTACTTAAGTACTGTACTTGAGTAAATCTATTTAGTTACTTTCCACCTTTGATCAGTATAACCTGGAAATCGATCACTGTCCTACCCAGCTTGTGGTCGTCCCTCTCCAGTGAAGAAGGTGGGCTCATTCACAGGCCCTGAACGCATCGTGGGTGGAGTTAACTCTGTGGAAGGGGAGTGGCCATGGCAGGTCAGCCTTCACTTCTCTGGTAGCCTGTATTGTGGTGCTTCTGTCCTCTCCTCTGATTGGCTCATCTCAGCTGCGCACTGCTTCAGCAAGGAAAGGTCAGTGACCCTTACAGATTTAATATGAAATGCCTGTGGTGGCAGCAGGCCTACAGTAATTGAAAATGCAGTGGTTCCCAGTGTTTTGGCTCAGTACCTACCTGCATCTGTCCTAGATTTTGCCTTTATGTGGACAAGTTGTGAGCATTGTTGTTCTTTCTTTTTTATGTTGTATCATTCGTTATGAACTTTTGAGACCTAAAGATGTATAAGTGTGCAGTGTTTTAGAAGAAAAAAATAAATAAAAATGAGAAAAAATTGCCTATTTCTGCGTGACAAATATTTACTACTTGCTAGTCTTGTGACCTCCTCAGATTTATCTAGTGGATGTAGAGCTTATAACATATGTACATATGTACCTCACATATGTTTATACATGAAGCTTAATATAAAAATCACCAACAGTGTCTTTCATTATCTGGTAATTTATTACATTAACGGTTTGTATCACATTTCAGCCCATTTGAAGGGTCTTTTCATTTTATCTGGCAATTATTATCTTATTAGGAATTACAGATGAAAATGAGCTGGATCTCTTGCAGTAAATGCACTATTCCTTTAAAAAAATTAAAAAGAAGGCTTAGAGGCTTCTGGTTCATTGTATGGATGTTGTGAACAAACCTGTTGCTTACTGTACATATAATTTTGTCTATTACCAATGTTTAATAGGTACAGTTTGATTAACCAGTGTGCCTTTTTGTCTTTGACCCCTGACCTTTTGTCTCTGTAGGTTGTCTGATCCACGCTACTGGAGCGCTCACCTTGGCATGCTAACGCAGGGCGGTGCCAAACATGTGGCCGAGATCCAGCGGATTGTGGTGCACGAGTATTATAACACGTACACGTTTGATTATGACATTGCCCTGCTGCAGCTGAAGAGGCCCTGGCCTTCCTCCCTCAGCCCAATGGTCCAGCCTGTGTGCATTCCATCTTCCTCCCACACTGTTACCAACAACCACCGCTGCTGGGTCACTGGGTGGGGTTACCGCTCTGAGGAGGGCAAGTAATACCTCGGACAGAACTCACTGAGTTTTATATTTAACATAACTAGAATATATTTTAACTTACAGGGCTAGTTTACTTGCAGTGACCCAAAAAAAATTAAATTAAACTAAATATTAAACTGAGATATTTATAGGAGACAACCGCACATTTTAATGAAATGTCTATTCCAACTTCCTTCAAACTTTTGTTGCTGAGCCAAACCTTATGGCAGTCAAAACAAGATTAGTGAGAGTGGGAATTTCC